AACAAATTATATTTGACTTTTATTAAAAAAATAAGACACAAATAATTCCTTTCACAATCTAAAATAAATTTAATTTGCATGTGCAAAAAATTGTTTTTTTTGCTGAAATATTAATCATCTATAGAAAATGAATGTATAAAAATAATGTTTTTAAATCATCTATATTTTTATATTTTTAAAACACCAGCTAAAAGTATTCATTAATTTAGACAATTAGCAAGTTTTGGATTCAAAGTGAAAGGTTAGTCTCCCGGGCATAATGTGAACCTTTTTTTGGAGATACATTTAAAGAAGAAATTTTTAATGATACTCACAATTTTGATAAGACCCTACAAAAAACACAAATTAACGAGGCCAAGGCGTCCCTCAAAAAGATTTCTTTTTTAGAAAAATGAACACTTACTTCTGAAATAAGTTTTTAAATTTTACTTCACATTTTAACCATCAATTCTAGAAAATTTAATGGTTTAAATATACTTATTGATTCAAACAATTAAGTTTTCCTAAAATTTATGTTTATAACGTGGACTCTTAGAATAAGTAGATCTATAGATTCTTTTAAATATAAAGTTAGTGAGTAAGTTTTGGTAAGCTAGTGATAATATTAACAAAGAAGTTTTTTATGTACAAAAAAACACATTTTTTTATTAGGATGACATTTTCGTATTTTAAAGTTATTTGGGGTCCGGCTAATATAATAAAGTCAAATTAAAAGACACTTTTAAAATAGTTAAAGATCTTTCAACAACTATTTTTCTTCTTCTTATAAGATCAAACCTTAAAATATAGATGAGACATTGCTTAAAGGAAATGGATCTCCTTATTACTCAGTTTAACTTAACTGGACAATATCTTTTTATTGTTTAAAAGATTATAATCATGTCCACTATAAGGGTAATCATTGTAATTTATATAAATAAACTAGAAGTGATTTATGTAGGTATAAAAATGAAGAAGATTATTTACGTTATTTCATTAAAACTATAAATATAATTTACTTTATCTTAATTAAACTTAAACTTATATGGTGCATGTTATACAATTAAAATTTAATACCACAAATTGATAATCTAAATTAATCTGCTTTGGGTTATGCATTTTTTAGATAATTTATCTTCCATCCATATGTGGAGCTTGGATAAGAGGGACCATGTATTTGCAAAGAAACCATGAGAATTTTTTGAACATGATGCATAAAACGGACAAAGAAAACTCTATCAATATTATTGCAAGATTTGTTTATTATAATTTTGATCTCTTGAAAAGAAGAGACTCATACAAGTTTAAAACAAAGAAGGATCATACAATTTATTTTAACATTCAACATCACCATATAATGTGATCCTTCAATATAAAAGCACTACTTGTTGGAAGATGAAGCATGAGTATTAGTATCAGTGGCCAAGTTCTCTTCACAGTTTTGGAATAGTTTTTGTTTAAGAGACTTCAATGATTCTTTCAGAACATTCAAATCTTCATAATTCATCTGATCAATTGGTATAACACTCAACATTTGAGTGATTTTCCTAACTTTATTTACCTCAAGGTGAGATTCATCAGAAACTCCACAGTACTTCTTGTACATTGAAAAAACCACATCTTCTTCTGGTGAAAAATCTTGTGGAGTATATACAAAGAACATCATGGATGCCAATCGCATAATAAGCATAACCAACAACTCATTCTCATTATTTGAAACATTAACTCGAGGCCTCAATGAGTTATTCTTCCTAGAATTTGTGTCATCGCTCATTTTCTTGTGGTTGGGTTTCACCATTTTTGTAACTGGAAAATATTCAACAATGGTACTATAACTCTTTGGAGGGGATTCATGATGTTCTAATTTATAGGACTTTTATTGTAATAAAAAAATAATATATCAACTGACAGAATGATTTTAGAGTGTAATATATATGTATTATTAGTATAAAAAATTATATATAATCACTATATTATTTATAATTCATTTGCATTAGTTTTTTGAATAGACAATGATGATTAAATATGAATGGTGTATAATGCAATGACAATATATAAAACTCATACACTGTAAGTGAATATATTTTTCTCTCATTATTTTATTGGCCATATATGATCATGATAGTACTTATTTGTGTATGAGGTTATGAAATAAAAATAGACAAATTAAGTTACTTAATTTGCATAAAAAGATGAAAAAATATATAATAAGTTATAGAACTCCTTCAAAGAAAATGACAGGGCTACAAGTTTGAGGATGGTGATGCTGTAGAATCTAGATATTCCTTCTAGAAGTCACAACCAAAATCTAAAGCCTAAGTAGGGCGCATGAGTACAAACTCAATTCTTAGTAAAAGCGCGTATGACTTTATGGCTACCAAGCCAAACAAGGAAATTAAAATGTCCTATGTATATAATAATTGTAAAAAGATGATTCCCCCCTTCCCCTTAAGGTATAATCGAGGATTACTTCTATGAAGATTAATTGATGTAAGTTGTCACATTTTCTCTAAATGTGATGAAGGAGAAACGTGTAGGTAATATATCAAAGTGGTGAAGCTATTGCCAAACCTAAGCGTCTTAAACAACTAGCAAGTAACTCGTGCATTTGCACGGGACAATATTTTTTGTCATATGATTAAGAACCCATATTACATGTGCATTCATATGTTTAAGAACATACACGTCATGTGTGCGTTTGCATGGGTTGGTGAAGACATGTTAGCTATACACTTTTGTAAATTTTTTTTATTAATTTTGATATTATATAGTCTATATATTTTGTTAACTAATAAATACAATAAAAACTTATATTGATAATTCTTAATATAAACGTACATATTGGGAATTTGTCTAGTTTTATGATTTATTGTGATTATATCGTAATGTAACTTGTTTATAATTTTTTTATTTCTAAGATATTACATAGTCTATACATTTTATTATCTATATTATAATAAAATTCACCTATGTGATATGGGAAACGATCCATTGGAAATCCAAACATTAGTGTTTTTGTAAGGTATTAAAAAATTATGGTGTCATTTTTTAATAAATATATAACATATGTAATGGTTAATAAATTCAATGAAAATATAAAATTAAGAAAAAAATGTAATAATGGTATATTTTAATTAGATAACAATACATTTTTGTTTTTATCATTGGTAGTATAGAGAAATTATCATAAAGGATTTCTATTCATTTTCATATATGTTAATATGCATGAGTCATCATCCACGAGAGGTGAATAATGCAATGATAATATATAAAACTCATATATTATTAATATATATATATATATATATCTTTTTCATTATTTTATTGGTCACAATCATGATATATAAAGGTTATCAGATATTTTAATAAAATAGTTATAGGCAAAGAATATTATCTTATTTCAGCAGTAGATGAATAATTATAATGACTCTTTGAGAAAAAAAGAAAATGATACTTGGTTTCAAATTCTATCTAGTATTAGGGTCCAATATAGGGCATACATGATGACAAATAGTAAAAACAAAATTTTAAGTATAAAGATTTTTATTTATTTATTAAATAATTTTAAAAAATTACAATATAATATTTATTCTTATATTATATTATTGGAGGGTCCAATATTGGAGAGAAGCCCAATTATAATACTTATATTTGTTTGAATTTTTTTTAGAATATTCATTTATAAGCATTGCAAATTACATATCAAACTCCTCTATAACAAGTTTGTCATTAAAATTTAAATAACTTTTACAATATTCACATTTTATAATAACTTTTCCCCAAGACTTTAGATAAAAGATATAAAGAAATTCAATGAACGATAACGTAAATTTGCTGAGTCAAAATATCTATCCTTTAAAAAATTAATCATCTTCTAAAACATTTATAGAAAAATAAATTATATTTGTCATTTAATAAATGTTATTATGTAATTCAATGAACTTCGCCGGGGGAAATCACGTGTCAAAATATATATATATATTGTCTGACACTTACACATTTTATAAATCTTGAAAAAACAATTTAATAAGATGCAAATATCTTCAAGAAAATGTGATAAGTAATATCACCTTGATTATCTATTATATATTTCTAAATCTTTTAACTCATATATGTTTATCTTAAATAACAATTCTTAAAAATAATAATATATTATGAATGAGCCTTATGAGGTTTGTGAAAATGGCCCAAAGCTAGACAATAATCTTATTATGTTAGACTTTTCATTCTTTTCCTTTTTATGCTTACCTAGTTTCAACTAACCCAATAATCTTATGAGGTTTGTGAAAATGTAATTTGATGTGTAGCAAATATACTGGTATCTTACACTAAAACAAAAACTCAGTTCACATATATTGCATCTGTTTGTAACAAATATACTGTGAATTAGTGACTGAGAAACATGCAAATAAAGATGCACCAGTATACTTGATCCATCACTTTTTCTTGTATCATTGCTTGTTTTTATTTATTTGAGAGATAAACAAAGCATCTAATTTGCACTTTACAACCATCACTTCACTTTTTAACTGTTATTTCTCATATTCATTCAGTGTAACAAAAAGTATAAGTGGAACTTGCTGCAACATTGGGTAACCATGGTGCAACACTTGACAATAAAACATGACGCTTAAGGTGTTATGGTATTGAAAGCTGAAATGTAAAAGTTTTTTATACTAATAGGCTTCAGAAGTCAAAGAAAGAACCACTAGTAAAAACTATCACAACATCTAATTTCGACTTTGGCGCTAGAGTATCGAACCTTAATCGCTTCTCGGTGGAGTTATTACACATCGGCAAACGGAGATGATGATAGCAATGGATTTAGCACTTTACACTGATGCTTCACTGCAAAGAAGTAGGTTGATATAAGTCTCTATAAAATCAGATTAAGACTCTTAGGCTTCATGTATAGATAAGAATGGTCATAAAACAAGCTTTAATTAGTCCCACACTGCTAAGGCAAGAGGAAGTAGCATGAAAGATTGATTATAAAATCAAAGTGTTGGAGACTGAGAAACATACTTACCTGGACGGGGTCAATAGTTGATCATGTAGGACTATGGTCTAGGGTAATGACCACCATTGCACTTAGGAGGGGTGTTATCTTAAGGTCTACCTAAGTGGTGGAGCCTATGTCATAATTTGTGGCAGTGGGGGTTTGCGTTCTCGCAGCCCCTATCCAAGTACAGTTCAAACTTTTTTAATTCTATAATAATATATCATAAATTTGTATGTTATTTAAAGCACCATATGAGAATCTTGTACAATAATAATAATGTAATGAAACAATACCCATCTCAGAAGGGAAATCTGAATAACTTCCATTTATCTTCTCTCTGCACACACTACCCTCATATTTGTAATTACCTTAACTTTTGGGAGGCACATATTTAGTGAAAGGACAAGATTTGAACTTAACTTGTCATTGTTTTTTATCATCATATTTCCATTTCTCTATTTCTCCAAAACCCTAATTTCTCTTTACCCAATCTATAATTTTTTATAATCAGATGTGTGTGATGAGAATAGGGGATATATGAACGCATGTTCTAAAAAAAATACAATCAAATTCAATTAGAGATTGTGAACTGTTATTTTGCCTCCAATTATATTCCATTTGATAAAAGGCAGTGGCTGATGATTGAAGCCTGATATTCTTTCTCCTTACAGTATATTTGACAGTTTCATTGTTTTTAACAATGTGTGTCACCAAAAATATAATTTGACAGTTGTTATTGACACAATTAACCAGAGACCAAAGAGTTCACAATTTATTGATTGAAGTTTAATCCAAGGTCTATTAATTCTAATATAGTAATCTCAAGTTTTGGATTAGAATTACTGAAATTAAAGTGGTTAAATTCAGGAGTAAGTATTGTTAGATATTTGTTCAACAAGAGAATGAATTGTTGGATTAAAAGGAATGGTCATCATACTAATTTTTTATAGATGTGAGACAACTAATAAAGAAAAACTTTTTGAAGTCACCAAGATTTTCTTTAACTTTTCATAAAGGGAAGTTTTTTTCTGGTGGGTACAAACTACAAAGGGTTCTTTTAGGAGACAAGGAAACTGAAGGAATGCAACTTTATATTGCAGAAGCTAGCATTAATATAAATTAAATAACATAATATTCAGAATAGTGTCCAAAATACCTCTTCATGTGTTATTCTTTTTGTTTGTTTGCATTTTATTTTATACACAAATAATACAACCCTTCATGACAGAGAATGATGCTGCTTGTGACTCCTCAAAATAATTAATGCAGGCATGCCAACAGGGACCCTCATTTTTTTGCTTTTTGGATGTGACAAAATCACAAAAGGCAAAAAACTGAAGAGTCTATCATCAGAAATTTGTCCCCACATTACATGATATCTACCCTTTCTTCTCTTTTTTTGCTGGCCTTTTATCATTTATCCTATGATTATTCATGTCACAAGCAGGCATGCATTCACTACATTCTCGAATACATTGACTACTTTAGGGAGAAATTCTTGCACTATGTTCTTCAACTTTAGATATGTAGATTAACTTTTGATTTATGCAAAGTTATTCATGCCATTTTTAACATGTATTTTAACTTTTGATTTATGCACTATGTTACATGCACTTTTCAAATTAGACACACTTTGAAAAGTCACATGCCTATCAACAACAACAACAAAAACTATGAAAAGATACATGCTTTTTGACAAAATTCTAATTTGAATTCTTACACCAAGTAACAGTTCACCAATATCCATGCTGCAAAAAATTGTATTTTAGCCTTGCAGTCTCAATGATTTGCAGACCATATGAAAGGCTACTATTGCATGTCATACATATAGATATGCAGAACCACATCCCAAAGTGTGTACTACTTATTTTTCTTTGGTCAGAAAAATAAAACATCAATTAAATGTATATTAACTTTATATTTTCTGAACAATAAGAATGAAATGGTACATATTTGGGATTGAAAATGTGCTCCTAGATATACATATATGCTCAAATGTTTGTTTCTCAAAGTAGAACTGCAAAGCAGCCTCAACTAAGCTTCACCAGCAATGTCAAATTGTTCATTTTAAAATCCTGAAGTTACCTAAACAAAACCCAGGTACTAAATTGCAGTAATAATCAGTCAAAACCAAAAAGTGATAAAGTTTAGAGGATGAGTGCATTGGCTGTAGTCACATTGGTTTTACAGAATCATGGTATTGAAGAGATAATTATCTTCACACCATTCTTAGTTGCACTGTTGAAGATTTCATATTTCCAAAGCATCAGAAACAATAACCCACAGACAATAATATAAAAATGCAGTTATCTCATGATTCATGAAACTACCTTAACCTGTGAGTTGGTCAAGTTGAAGAATACTTCAAAAACTTGAAACCTCATCGAACAATGGTATCAAAACCAACACACTGATTTCAGTGTCTTATGGTTGCTTCTCAGCCCCTTAAAGGAAACAGAGAAACTACCTAAGCAGCAAGAAACAATCAAATTGTATAACATGTAAAAGCTTCAAAGAGATTCAACTTATCAAGCAAATAGCATGTACAGTCGATTTAACAAACTACTATCTAACCATATACCTTAAATAGAATAAAATATTCAGAAATTTTCTGTCCATCTTAAATTAGAGGCATAATTGGACATCCAATTATTTATTCAGAAAAGGCAATGCAGCTTTTAGTAATCAAAGGGCCATCCACTATAACTAATTCCATCATGCTGGTCAGGAGTGGTTGAAGAAGAGCCGTTTCCCCTAGTTTCAGTATAATTATTATTATTGTTTGGAGTCGAAGAACGGAATGGCCACAAAAATGATAATGGGTTTCTCCTTCCTCGGTTCTGATTGGTACTCTCCCTGCGCCTGGAGCTACTATCACTGCCACTGTTTCTGTTGGCATTCCTTCCTCCCAAGCTTCGACTACTACGAGCACAAACATGTCCTTGAGGTGGCAGCTCAATACGGCAAACAGGGCACGAGTTATGCTGAACCAACCAAGGAACAATACAGTCAGAGTGGTAAATATGGTTACATGGCATCTCTCTGGCTTCACAGCCGAGCTCAAATTTGTCTTGACAAACTGGACAGTGTGAATCTGAGCGAAGATGTGCCTGCGTGATCCTAATAGTAGGCATTGCATCAATTGAAGAACGTGCAGCTGGGGGAGGACCATGCCGATCATTCAGGGTGAGTTGTTCGATAAATTCTTCCAGTCCAGGGCCCACAAAATAGTCACCAAAATCAACACGCCTGGGACCACCTCTTGGGCCACCGTTAGACAAGGCGAACCCAGGAGATTGACCATGAACTATCAAATAAGGACCAGAACTAGAAACACCCCAATTCTGTTCAGGAGGAGCTAGGACAGAACCAGTCCTCCCTCTAACATCAAAGTTTGGGTGTCTTCCAGACATTCTCCGTCTCACGACATTATCAACAACATCCATAAGCCCAAATCTAGGATCAGAACCTCTCCGCCCCATAAAAGCATGTATAGCATCAAAAAGGTCGGGTGATTGATTAGACTCTCCTGATTGCGACAGAACAGTAAATTGGAGTGGAGTTTGTTGCATCTCATCGAGTTCTTGTACGAATCCTCCATCACAGTCAGGGCAGATGGCATATCTCCCTTCAAGCACAATTGGCTGCCTGCACGCGTAACACCAGTAAGTTGCTCCACTTGACATTCTTTCTCTACACTTCTAAATTGTAAACTCTGCACCAAGCTTCAACTCTTCTGCACCAGATATATAGGCTCATAAATAATAATAATAATAAAAGGTAAAAAAAAAGTTCATAGATCAAGATATTATAAATTTGAAAATAACTGAAACAAGTCCTACAGATTCAATATGCTAATTGGCTAATGACTATGCTATTATTGATATTTATGCTAATGGTACCATACATAATAATTTCTTCAAAACCAAAACTTGAATCATGCCCCCAATTTCTCAACCTGACAGTTTTTTAAGAGGAGCCAAAACAATTGATTGAGAGAGCCAGAAATAAAGTATTAAACAGTATGAACAGTAAATGTAAAGAAGGAAAATAATTCTTTATTGGATTGAATGCAAATGACAGCAGAACAACCAAGTGTGTCTCAATTAAGGCTATATAATTAAGTGTGTCTCAATTAAGGCTATATAATTAAAATATAAAAACACATTAAACAATAAATCAGACAAGTCAACATGGAAATTAACTACCTAAGGAAGCACAGCTTTATTCATGGAAACAAAATCATCATCAGACATAACCTCAGAGAGAGGAACAGTAGAGAGAGAAAGCATAAATAAAACCAACTAAAAATTCAGAGCAATTAGAACAAAATCTAGAAAAATTAAACCAAATTGTCATCAAAGCACAATTTTTTTTCAAATGGGGTTTCAATTAATCAGTATCTATTTACTCAAAGAGCCATATTATGGTCAAAATCATATTGAAACCACTAAATAGAAGGGTGAATTGTGAAAGAGAGAAGAGGAATGAAGAGAGATTGAAGTTACCAAAGGAAATGAAAGAGAGAGAAAATTAAGAAATTGGAAGAATCTGAGCTTAGTAGAGAGAGAATATAGAACACATTTATGCATATATGGGGCCCTTTTCCCGCTCATTAAGTAGTCTTCTCATTTTCTCTATTTTTATTTATATATTTATCCAATTAATAAAGTCAAAACCCAAAATAACTACCTACCATGATATAGTTAATGATTTCCTATTTTACCCAAAATAATTACTCACAATAGTGTAATTAATGATTTCCTATTTTGCATTCACTATATTCTAATTTCTACAGCAAAAAAAGCATATAACTAAATGCAAATTATAATATATTCAACTACAATTATAATCTATATTTATACAATTAATAAAATCAAAACCCAAAATAACTACCCACATGATGTAATTAATGATTTCTTATTTTGCCTCCACTATATTCTAATTTATACCAAAAAAACATATAACTAAATACAAATTATAATATATTCAACTACAATTATAATCTATATTTATACCATTAATATAGCAAAAACCCAAAATAACTATCCAACATGGTGTAATTAATGATTTCTTATTTTTCCCTCACTATATTCTAATTTCTACAAAAAAATCATATAACTCAATGCAAATTGTAATATATTCAACTACAATTATAATATATCTAATAACACAATTCA